GTTTTGTTGATTATTTGTAGAATTAGTGGTGATGGAAAATTTGGCTAATCTTGTGTTGCATATTTGTTTAACTGTGGACTGTGAAAATTCAACAGAGATGTGAGTTTCTTGGGTTTTGGTTAACTGTATAGCTGTGAAAATTCAACAGAGAAGTGAAAATTCGTCGGTTTCTTAGCGTATTGTTTAGACTTGTTTAACTTTTTAACTGTGTATTCGTCCGGGTGAGTTTCTTGGCTTTTGGTTAGCTGTGCGTGAGGTTTTTAATCTTAATTAATTGCAAGAATGAAAGCCAGTTCTGTTGGTTGATTATTTGTGAAATTAGTTGTGATGGAAATTTTTGGCTAATCTTGTGTGGTTTTGCATTTCGTTTAGATGTGGACTGTGAAAGTTGATGTTATATGTGAAAGTTGAACATATGTGATGATTCGAATTCGGGCTAAATTTTGGCTAATCTTGTGTGATTTGCATATTGTTCAATTGTGGATTGTGGAAAAAAGTTAATGTGATATGGTTAGCCCTGCTACATTTCGTTCTATATTGGAGTTAATGGCTAGGATTTCATGCACAAATCATATCTTTGGCTGTTAGAATAAAAAGCCTTGTGCCGTCTTTTAAGTTGAACTTTGATATTTAAACCGGGTTTGGCGAGCCGTGTGTTTATTAGCAATAAAATTCGTGTGCGGATATAAATCATATAATACTCTTTTGCAGGTAGGCAACGAGCTTGGAGCCGGTAAGCCCCACAAAGCCAAGCTAGCAGCAATGGTCTCATTAGCCTGCGCATTCGCAATCGGGCTAATCAACGTAATGTGGACCGTAATATTCAGAAACAAATGGGCCGGGCTTTTTACGGAAGATAACGGGCTGAAAGCCCTAGTTGCTTCGGTTCTTCCTGTTATCGGCCTCTGTGAACTTGGAAACTGCCCACAGACGACGGGCTGTGGGATTCTCCGTGGGGCAGCCAGGCCCGTTGTGGGGGCCCACATCAACCTTGGCTCGTTCTACTTTGTGGGCCTGCCCGTGGCAGTGGGCCTGGCCTTTGGGCTTGGGGTAGGTTTTACGGGCCTGTGGCTTGGTTTGCTCTCGGCTCAGGTTGCGTGCGCGGTGTCGGTTCTTTACGCGGTGGTGGGCCGAACGGACTGGGAAAACGAGGCCTTGAAGGCCTCCAAGCTTGCTAGAGTTCAGATGGGCTGCATTAAATGTGCTGATGATGAGGAGGAGAAAAAAGGATTGATGGATATGGAGAAATAAAAAAAGAAGTATGGTTTTTTTTCCTAGGAGAAGTTTATTTTTGCTTCAGAGTTTATGTTTTGGTGATTAGTGAGGCAAGGAATGTGATGTTGGCCCTTGACTGTTTTCTTGTTCCATGATTGGGGCTACATAAACAAGACTCTGAATGAACTTCTTGGTAGAATATGAAATTGATTAATTCAGTCAAATGATGCGTGGGGATTTGGAATTGAGTCTAGTTTCGTTGTAATTTGATTGTTAATTTGTTATGTTACTACTACCAATAAGGCTCCTTTTTAAACTGCATATATTTGCAAAATGAAATTTGATATGTAGAGAAACAATATAAACATACAGTATAAATTAACATTTTAAAATATTGATTTGATTAAAATTTGTATGATACATTTCTAAATTCCAACTTTTACAAAATGAAAATGACAATACACAAGTTACCTTTAGGCAGCATAATTGTTGCTAACCATATATGTAAAAAAAATTGCATATTTATCAAATAAAACGTCATTTATTATTATTATTATTATTATTATTATTATTATTACTACTACTACTACTACAACTTGTACACTATTAATTACCATGTCATTTTTAGCAAAATTTTCCTATTTAAAAAAAAATTATCATAAATAATTGTAATCACTCTAATACCTTATATTATCCATTAATAACAAAATAATTAATATACATTTTATAATATTTTTTGTTATTAAATCAATTGAGTAACTTTTACTACCAATGCTATGTATTCATTATTTCACTATTTACTATTCTAAGAACATCTCCATTCCTCTATAATCTATTCCACTCTAGTGTAAGTTTATCATACACTGTGAAAATTTAACTTTTGTCTCACATTGTCCACGCTACATTTAACACTACATGAAATATATTAGTACAAAATAAAATTTAAACAAAACTATAAAATCATAATTTAAAATTATTTAATAAAAAATAATTTTATTAACGTATATTTTGTCAAAATAATATTTAAAAATAAATATATATTATAGAATTAAAATTTGAAGAAAAAAATTGTAGCACGGTGAATAGTACTCTGCTATATGTAACGTAATATTGTTCACATGTTCATAGTAGTGTGAAAATGTAAGACAACATTGCAACAAATTTTACGCTCTAGTCTACTGTGAAGTAAAGTGAAAGGAATACAACAACAAGACCAAAATATATTTCATAAAAAAATTATGGGTTTAAAAATAAAAAAGAAAAGACAGTGAAAAAGATTCCTCTGTGCAGAGATGAGAGAACACAAAACCAGACTATTCATTCCTCTTTACTCCTAGCTATTCTTGCCCGATGCTTGAGCTCAGCTCTTTTCCACCTCACTATCAGATAACACAGTGAAAACAAAGTGTTCACCTATAAGGACAACAAAAAAAGCAAAGCTTCCCAATGAGAAGAGAGAAAACAATAATTAATAAATAGAAAAAAACAAAAAGATGAAAAAAAAAAAAAAACGAGTAATCACTAACCAAGATCACGATGGCGATTACCAGTAGCGGCCCAGACCAGAGTACAGAGAGGAACAGCCCATTGGAATCAAAATAGTTCTGGCCCGCAAAGCTTCTCCAGTTGCCAGCCAAGAACTGGTTCAGCCTCTCGGCAAAATACACACCTCCAACTGCAAAATTAAATGCAACAATTCAAAATAGATTCGGCCAATACAAGCTTCAATGATGAATTTCCATTGTGGGCCTTTTCAGAGTTTTTGTATCTTGTAGTTAAAAGCAAGTAATATATATATATTTGCGATAGTTAATTGTATGAGATAAGCATTATGTGGAGAAGCATACGTGCGAGAAGGAACAAACACATTTGAAAGTTGATGTTCTTTCGTGACAAGAAGACTACTAATAGCAGCAGCACATGGAAGGAAATAAGACTTATCAGCCAAGGTTCCTGCAGAATTCGAAACTCAGAGATTAGATAAAAGAAAGATATTGTTTAGGGCACGTTTTGAAGCAAGGCGTAAAATCTCAGCATATGATTAGCTTTATCGTGTATCTTCCCCTTCAGGGTTTTATTTTCACTTCAACGTTAAATTGCAAACACAATATATAATCAGATTAGTTTCAACAGAGTAGATTCATAAGCCGATATGATGTATGCAACAATTTACCCATTATTTTTTAAAAATCTAATACATTATCTCCAAATTAGCAACCGAGTTTCAATATTTCTACTTCTGGAACCCTTTGAATTGGGGTTGGTGTTCAATTGTCCTCTCGAATGAGCACAAAAGTCACTGATGAAATATAGCACTAGCAGCAAACTAGAAACGGGTTTTCTGCAAGAGTAGATCAAAGAAGGAACACGATAGGAAATGTTGCAAAGCTAATAGACATCCACACGAGCTCTAATGCCTTTAATGCAAGTCTGGTTTGTTCAGGTTAAACTACAGAATCAGTGTTTCCTCAATCAACCCACATAAATCCAGGCAATAATGTAAAAGAACACGCGTGACCATCGATTACATCAAATCAAATCCAGTTACTTCTATACTACCAAGTACCAAACCCTACCTTCACTTTCAAAAGGTTGCATCTTTTCCTAAAGTATACAATACAACACTGAGTTGACATCACTATACATACAAATACTCCAGAAAGAAAAGAAACCAAGCCAGGCTTCAGCATCTTTACAGACCAATTAATGCACTTCAATAGGTTCACTTAATCCCTAAAAAGAACAACGAATTCAGAGTATATCTACAAAGCAACACACACAGACAGCTTAACTGCAATTTGTCAACAACCCTGTAACTTGTCATCTAAAATTCAATCACCTCAAGAAACAAAATAATAACACGTTACAATCAACAGCAAAGGGAAAAACAAACAAAAACCCACAAACCCACACACACAGTATGAGTGAAGTTAAGCACAATTACCTTCCAGTCAATGGCGTGGAAGAAACCCATGAAGTTTTCATAAGCAGGTTTGAGCCCAGAACGGAGCTCCGCTGAGAGCTTCTCAACCAGATCTGCCATTTGATCCATGTGGGCATTGAAAGCGGATTGCAGGTCCTCCATTGTTCACCTTTTTTTTGCCAAATCCCTCTAAACCAAGAATTCGCACGGAAGTTGATTACGGCCTGTGATCAAAATACAGGAAAAATCTGTTCTTTTCGAGAGCCCAAAAACTACAAATTTGAAAACTTTCAATCTGTGGCCTTAAGTGGGGGTGGTGTGCGTTTTGCAGAGATCGGTGTAGAAAGTTCTCGCAGGATGAAAACGTCGACGTTTCTAGTTAACAGGCCACGAGAGATTAATTACAAAATTGGGGCTTGCTCTTAAAAGTCAAAAATAAATTGGGGCTCAAGATTTGGGACTGCATTGCACTCAAATGACAGAGTACCCTTTCAACTATTTTAACCAAAGAAAGAAAAAAACTCTTATTTTACACTATATATATATCAAATTAAAATATATAAATCGCACATAATATTTTGGAAACATATAAATAATTAATTTGTCAATCCGCGTTGTGAGATGCTCATATAATTTTTTTCCACATTAATACTTGTCATACGAAATATGTAACATCGATTTAGGGAAATTCCCTAAGTAAAGATTTGACAGATATTAAATGTGGTCTGATGACCTAGATTTTATATTGTAAACAGTTCGGATTCTTAATACAACTTGGGAGTTATTTCTAGAGAGAGTAATAGAGTCTGCCGTTTTTACAATAAATGAGAGGTATTTATAGTGTAAAACCCACGGGCCCGATTCACAATGCCCACACGTTGCCATTTAATGTTGTCTGACAGCGACATGCAGCTCTACAGGATGGGTCCCACACCTAATTATCTTGATTTCGAATGGACATATGTCTTGTCCGCATTAAATGCACTGTCAGTGGTCGGTCTTCAAGGGTTCTGGATTGGCGCCTTCGTAATTGGATAGCCATTCATGAAAATTGGTGTGCGAGTGGCTTAGTGAGCACATCGGCCACTTGATCAATAGAAGTGACAGAGTGGACCTTGAGGAGCTGGTTTGCTACATCGTGCCTCAACATTGGTTTTACATTACCATCAACGTCAATCTCCAATGGGTATTTCAAGATATGGCCTTGTAATGGAGCGAATGACTGATTTGTGTATCTTTTCCAATTATCTTCAGCCACGTGATTAACATACCTCAAGCACTCCATATTTTCAGGATTTTCAAAGCAATTCTTGATGGCTCCCACATGCTCTGCCCAAAGGGACATGCGGTATCCATATATCTGAATATAATAAAGAAAACTTTTTTAATTCGACGCCTTTACTCTTTCAAAGATGAAAAACGAGAGTGAAGTTTAAAATGTGCAAAGAAAGAAAAACCTGGCCATGAGGATGTTTGTTTTCCTTGGGCCATGTGTGGTGAGGCTGGTAAGCACCCATGGCGATCTCAGTATCTCTGTCACCGGCCATCGAGCGTTGGTTAATGTTCGCCGAACCGAGTAGTATATACGCATCATCAACTATCATGGCCTTCGAGTGCACGTAAATCATGAACCTTTTGAATTTTTCCGATGCCGATGAATGCTGGAAACATATAATTATGTTTATACTTATAATGGTGTCATTCAATGCATAGCTAAAGTAGTAATGAAAGAAGAAATATGAATTCGATTGGCAAGAAAAAACAAAAAGGTAAGAAAAGAATGAAGTAATGTAGCATTACCATATTTCGGCTAGATGATGCTCGACCCCCAACATTCACAATAGAAATTCAGGTGGTCGGGCGGGTGTGTGCCCCCAAGGCCTGCAACTTTTATCTCTTGAGCGACCACATTATACATAGTCCGAATAGAGTTGTACTGCAGAAGCGTAAAACATAATTTTAACTTTTAAGGATTACTAAACACGTGCAGCATGGATTATAAACATTCTGCCATTTATCTATGGCAACATAAAGTATATAAGTTCCTACTAGAGTTGCTATTAAATTGCATATAGTATTGTAACTAAAAAATGTATTTAGGATGTGAAATGTATATGCAACAGTTGTGACATGAGAACTTGTAGTGTTAATTGAGACAGAAAATACGAAAAACAGCAAAGCAGTAATTTAGAAACAACCATGGAGACGTTTCGAAAAAAGCTTATTGTAGCATTATGGATTACTTATTCTTAGTCCTCATTTACAAAATTCTACTTAGTGTGATTGACAATTTGTTGCTATCCTTACATAATTACAGACCTTATGAGATTAGCAAAGAAACTAAGGAGCTGCAGCACTATATTATTTTCAATTCATAAGCAAAGAAACTCAGGAGCTATAGAACTAGATTTTATTTATAAATAATTTCAGCTCCACAAATTTAGTTATTGCACCCAAGAATGGCATGCGCATTTTTTAGTTCAACCCGAAACATACCTTCCTTACTGATGTCAGGTCTTTCCAGACGAGCAGCAACACTCTCACCGCTTCGCATGACGTGCGAAGCATCCAATCCCTTTCGACAAGATAAAAGATTGCAAACAATTGACAATTTATAAGACTGATAAAAGTAATGTATACTCGAAAACAAATATTCCAAAGGATTGAAAACAACAGGACTGCAAACAATTGACAAATTTATACTCGAAAACAAACAATCCTAAGCTTTGAAATTTGTTGGTGAACACGAACTAATGGAGTGTGCACCGAGAAGATGGTATTTATGTTAATGTGGTGAAGTGTGCACTGAGAAGAGGGTAGATATGTTGATGTGGTGAAGAGTGCACTGAGAAGAGGGTAGACATGTTGATGTGGTGAAGAGTGCACTGAAGATGATAATATATATATTGATGTGCAGTCAAAATAAGACAGACAAGATAAAAGCATTCTTTTCTTTTGTCTTGCCCAAACATGGAAGTATTTTTGCTTTTACTTTTTTCTCTTTTCTTTAAAGATTCTTTCAGAGTTATTTCTGGTCTAACCAGCATTTGCACATCAATGTCAGACTCAATAATGCATAGTGGCATATGATGATAAGGCATAACTTAAATTGAAAAAAGAAGTGTTTAGAAATAATCGCGATTACTTGACATGATAGGTATTCTGATTTCGTCAACAAATTGTTAATCACACTGAAAACCAAACAAAATAAGAAAGAAACAGAAGAAAAGCAGTAGATGAAGAAAACAAAGAAGGGAAAATAATAGCTAACTAGAGATAAACCAGCTTCCCTGATATGTGATTTGAGATATGTTTGTTGATGTGTAGGCAACATGAGACAGACAAGATAAAAGAGCATTTTTTTCTGGTCTTGCCCAAACATGGAAGTATTTCTGCTTTTACTTTTTTCTCTTTTCTTTAAAGATTCCTTCAAAGTTATTTCTGGTCTAACCAACATCTTCGCATCGATGAGTGAAAATTTTGACTGGATAATTTTAGTGGTATATGATGATAACACATTAACTTAAAAAGGAAAAGAGATTTAGAAATGATCGTGATTGCTTGTCACGGTAAGTATTCTGATTTTGGCAACAAATTCTTAATCACACTTGAAACCCAAAGGGAATACCTGCAATTTCCACACAAAACAGAAAGGAACTCAAGAAAAACATAGAAAAACACAGAGACATTCACAAACATTCAGATGCGCATATGCAATTGAAACCCACACATAATAGAAATTAAACTCCTAATGCAGCAACATCATAGTCGAACGACTAGGTTTTGGCAAAGAATATCAATCTTAAACACTATAACTCAGCTTATTAATTAGAATGATTATTGCTAACACAAGTTCATTATGAGTTAGGAGGTATCGCCATTTTTTCATGTCTATGTCTAATTTCTATTGTGCTTCTGAATCATCACCAGAGACCAAGCACAATAAAGAAAACGAAGGACAGAAGAAAACCAGTGGGTAAAGAAGAAAAGGAAAATACTTGCCATTATCAATCAAGTTAGCTCTTTTCCAGCCGGGCCTCAGGTGGCCTTCCCCGGCCCGTGAGCGTTGGGGGAAAAAAAAATGGAACCATTTTCTCGATTTCTGGAGGCCATCCTTGCGCAGGGGCTCGCTAATCTTCTCTGTATTCATCCAATCTTTGTTTAGATGTCCACTAATGAGGGACAAAATAATCGGTGAAAAAAGGACTGAATAAAGGCATAATATAGTAATCAACTAGTATTCGGCCTTGCACAGATATATAAATAAAATATTGCGAGTTATTTGTATGCATATAATGATTAATGATTTTTGCTAAATTTACAATTAAATGAGCTGAAATCTTTATTTTTTAAAAATACGTTTTTCATATTGGATGTAATGTATATTTTGGTATGTATCTTTTGTTGTGAATTATTTGTTATTTATTTAGGAATTTCAAATACGTTTTTTATTTCCAAAAGAAGTTAATTTAAATGTAACCACAACAATAACATCTACTCAAGTTAAATAGTCAACACATTATATGGTCAACCGTAAGTAAATAAAAAATTTAAAATAATTTTTGTAATTTTGAAGTGATTAGTGTTTTGATATCTAATAATTAAATGAGAGGTTAAATAAATAAGAAATAACAATTTTTCGATGAAAAAAACTATATTGCCACATAGGTATAATTTAATAAGTTTTATTAAATACTAATGAGCCAGCAATTATACATATATATATATATATATTTAGGGTAATGAGATTTGCAAAAAATATTGGATATTTAATATTTAGTTTTTATTACAGTTATGAAATGAGAAAGAATATGGCATAGTTGATTTGACCGACTATAAATAATATTTATTTTTTATGAGTGATGAGATTTGCAAAAAATATGAGATATTTAATATTTAATTATTATTAAAGTTATGATATAAGAAAAAAATATGGGATGTTGATGCTTGGAATTTATATAAAGAATTTTTTAAAATTTTGGATTCCCGCATCTTTTTTTCAGATTTTCGCCTCCTATTCAGATAATTTCGAAACAGTAATTATCTCAACTTTTGGAATTGTAATTTGATAATTATAATTAATTGTTTTAGTTGATCTTTAATTTTGTTATTTTTGCAGGAATTGACCGGAGATGGAGCATCTGATTTTTTATTTTATTTTAAATTTATTTTTTTGGTTAGTTGTATTTGTTAATAATTAATTTTTTATTTATTTTCATTAATTTCTTTTAGTTTACTATGCATAGAAAAAATAATTTCGATTAAAAAAATAATTAATGAGAACTGTTGAGAGTAATTAATATGTTTAAAAAAATATGGAAACATTTTCATTTTCATTAACTCGTTATAATTGCAGAATTAATTGGTTGTCATTTTTAAAACACTCAACTTTTAAAGAAAATTGAGTTGTTTTTAATAAAGAAAATAAAAAATAAAAACAAATGAAAAGTAACGGAAATTGGCGGGAAAATGCCACCTAGGTATAATTTATGAGGTTTAATTAAATGCAGAAGAGCTAGTAATTATATATATATAGATGTGGGATAAGTGAGCAGGTTGCGGATTAATTTAATTATTACATGCATATATTACGAATATATATTTTGATTTTCCTTTTTAAGATAATAATTTAGATGGTTATTCGAAAGGTGACAAGTTTTTATCATAATTTATAAAAATACATCTTATAGATGTATTTATTTTTTATAATAAATTAATTTTACATGTTTCAGTTTAGACTTTTTAGGATATTTAAAAGTCTCGAGGCATTCATTTTAGATTTTAAAAAGTTATATAAAATCTTGAGGTATTTCAAATTATTTGATACTATAATTTGTTAAAATTTTTTAAGATTTGCTGTGAGTTCAAAAGAAAAAATCATATACGAAATTTCACTCAAAATTTCAGTTCCACACAACTTTCACATTATTTCTCATAAATCTAAAAATTTTAAAAAGTCTAAAATCTCATAGAGTCTTAAAATGTCTCTTGAAATCCTAAATGAATGAGTAGCATGCCTCTAGAAAATTCATAGGGTTTCTAGTGAAGAAGATTTGGGATTGTGTATTTGTGTTGATGCTTTCTAGTGGAAGAATTAAAGGGATTGAAAAATTTATAGGGGGCCGTTTGAGAAGTAGAAAGTTGTGTGGCTAATTTCATTTTAGTGGGCTTTAGTGGATTGGGTTGGGTGAATTTCTTTTCCACCAACCCAAACCATATGGGCCGGTCTGTTTTGAAAACGGGCCTCGACCAACATGATCCAAAGACTTCGGGCTGAAACGGACAATATATTGTCCCATTAATATATAATATTTCCAGAGCAAAATTTATAAATATGAACATCCCTTCTTAAAGTGTTGTTAATTATGTGCTTAAAATGAAGAACATTTGTATGAAATGTTATAATTTAATTACACTTCTAAATATCACGATGTTGTTAGCATTGCAATACATTTTCACAAGCGTCAGTATTTGATTATATTTTTTTTTTTTGAAAGTATCGTTATCATTTTTTTTGTAATACTTATTAGAAAGCGTCGCATTATTTTAGATTTTAATTTCGCTTATTAAAAAAAAAGTGATATATTAGCAATCATATTGAAAATAATTATAATTCACATAAGTTATTAATAAAAAAACATATATATGTGATTTAATTAGCAAGGAGACATGTCTTTATCGACCATCCACCCCTCCTCTAGAAACTTTGTTAAAGTTCATTTTTTTTTTTCAGTCGTAATTACTACCTCAAAACCCCACCTTCATCCACTTGCACATATATAAAAACAAAATGCAATAATCATTCTTACTACTGATTAATTTGAAATTTCTATACATATATGCTATTAATAAGAAGAAAAAAAAAATTAATGTATTAGAAAACTTGTTAGTTTATTTATTGATCCGAAAGAGTTCAATTTTTTGGATGACTGACTCGTATTTATGATGATATCATAATAATAAACGTGTCATTTTATAAATGGTAGATTAAACAATCGAAATTAATTAATGATTATAAATAATAATTAGCGTGTGTATTTCATTACCTCATGAATAATTATATTTGCATCATTATGATGAGTGAGAAATTTTGCTAAGAATGTTGAAATGCAAGCAAATCACTATAAGAAAAAAAAAAGATTAAATTTTAGTGGAAACTTTTAATGCTAATTAATATATTGTGATAAAATTTCAAATTAATTCAAGCAAATACTTTAGTGTTATAATTTTCGTTGAAAAATTTTAGTAAAAATTTCAACAAAGATATCTCGTTGAAATTCGCTTTTCCATTAGATTTTAAATATTCGAACGATGGTTTATCAACACATAAAACAATTCTAACCATATTTCAACAGAATATCCTACTAAATTAATATTGGTTGNAGGGAAACAAAATTTTTTAGTATTGGTCTTCGTTAAAATGTTTATTTAATTTTTTCAATGAAAGTTATAATATTAGAATATCTATTTAAATTCATATGAAATAATTTACCGTTGATTTTTTTTTTAATTAGTATTGTGATAATCTATTAATATATAAAGAGGGAATGATAGTTGTTTGAAAAAATCAAGTGGAAAATCAGCAAAAAAAAGATTTCAGTTCCCGCCTAAATAAATACTATAATGAGGAATTTTTTTGGTAAAAAATTGAATCTGCCCGCCTTCAACCAATTCAAACGTTTTTGATATTTTAGTTATTGATTTCAAGCCTTATCTATTTATCCAATCCGATTTTTACAAGATTTGGTTAGATTTTTTTGTCAAATATTTGTATATATCTTATTAAATCATTCCAAAATCATTCCTAACTAAAATCACTGTGTGTTATAGAATCCTATCTATATAAATACATTTGCTTATCGTCTGCTCCAAAGGTTCACGATAAAAATTATACACAGATATTTCGACGGAGGTAGGGAAAGGCTCGCCCCACGGCCATGAACGTGTGTATGAGTGCGAAATTCCCGCTAAACCTGCTTTCAATCGCAGCACATATCACAACAGCAACAAATAATTTCTTAAGTCAGTTCCTTTTTTTTTTTTTACCGGTGAATCCACCGGAAATTACGATCTGATCCACTCCACAATTCTGAACAAATGGTAGCAATGGCTTTCATCAGCAACAGTTCTCCGGCGACATGAGTTTCGTGCCATCGAGATTTTTTCTCTCTTTATTAATTTTCTTCACCTGAGAAAATTTCGATTTTGAAATCGGAATCTTCGATCATGGATTCCGATATGGTGGCCGCGTTGAGAAGGAGTGTGGAAAAAATCACTTTTCTTCTCGATCGAATGGCGGCTCGGAGCCATTCCACTCAAGCTTCCGTTTATAATTGGTAAATCCTGTTCCATCTCCAATATCTTGATGAGTCGTAATTCACAGATTTTTCTTTAGCTTGATGTACATAGATCTAGAAATGATTGTTTTGAGCTTTTTTTGAATCGAAAAAGATGTTGCCGGTGGAACTGCGTCGGGCAAGACAACTGTTTGCAATATGATTATCTAGCAGCTGCCAGTGGAACTTGCCTTAATGAATAAATTATTTGTTGTTGTTTGGACCGGAGCAAGAGCAGGGCGCAAGTGCAGTCGACTGAACACATCAAACACAGGGAGTGCAAGTGCAGCCACTCGACGAGAGTGGCTTTCACGCGCCCTCCTCCATGTTGCGCTCGAGAAGCAGTCGACGGCTTTCGGCACCAGCTCGCGTCGACACGGAGATTGAGTACATCAAGAGGATTAGCCAGTGGAGCCTTCTGCTTATTCACTTGTCTCGCCCTGTATCTTGTGATTTTTTCTGGTTTTCTAGCTTGATTTTTGCTCTATTTTCCTGTATTTTTTTTTTTCAATTTTCATTTTGTTTTTTGACGTTGCTAAGGTGATATTGGAGGTGATATTGGAAGCTTTCCTTGCCTTTTGAAGTAATGTTTGTTTTCTGCCTTGAAATTTAGTGAAAATTACATTGGGAGAGGAAGATAAATTTTTTTAGCTTCACAAGGCGAACCGAACGGAGAAGGTCCTGGCCAGTTTTCATGGTTGTTGGATGTGTGGGCTCCAAGTGTTAGTTTGCTTGGGCCGGGCTGGTGGTCTAGAGGGCCTGACAGGAATTTTGGTGCAAGGCTGCTGAAGTTTGAGAGACTTTTGTTCTTATGGAATGATAGAATAATATTCTCTCTTCTTCTTGAACGGTTTATTATATTGCTTCTGCATAGAGACGGGAAAGAACGGCCGTTTGTGTTTCTTAATTTTTTGTCTTCGAAATTGTTTGAATAAGCAGAAGACCAGTTTTAAATGTATTGCCTTCATTGCATAAGTTTAAATATGTTGAATAAATTTTGACGGTAGCATTTTAAACGTGTCCACCATTTTCTAACTACTTAACTAAAACCATTCTCTTATCCGAAATAATCTCATGTTATTATAAGAACTATGAATGGTGTATTTGGCTGAATTAATTTTTATAGTACTTTTAGTATCTTAATTTTCTAATCCTTGAATTTTTTTTTCTCTCAGTGACTTCACGAATAGTGTTTCAATGTATCTTGCAGGCATTCTTGATCACGGTGCGAAACAAAGAACGCGTAGGCTACACTTATGAGTTAATTTTAAAGGTGAAAGGTAAAAGCATAATTTTCTCAGGACTGCTGACACTATTTGTTTTGTTTATCTTGGTTCCTCCCATAGTTTATATGATCATTTACGTTCTATAATGGGAATATTATAAAACTCAAGGGAAATGGCTAATTGGAGAGGAGAAGAAGAAAGTGAAAGGCCACATAGATGTACCAGAGTTCACATTTAGTGAGCTGGATGACTTACAGGTATGTCATTATATAATTTCTTAATAATTTGTATCAAGAAAAAAACAGTCATCATCCAATTGTTAGTACAGTGAGACATATGTATGTTCAGGAGCACTCTATTGAAGGAGTGGCTTATAAGATGTATATAAATTTGTGACACCTTGTGGCATTTGAAACTTTAAAGGATAACTATATTTTTCTGTATTATAGGTGGCTGTTTTGTGAATATACTCAGTTTGTGGTATATATGGTTTTCTTTCCTACTTGGCCTTCAGAAAGAGCGTGAAAGTTTGTTCCTTTTGATTTTGCATATTGAAGTAAAACTCAATGAGGATAAGGATATTCCAGCAAACGAGAGGCAGCGGATTAGCCATGACTTGAAATTATTTTTGAAGCCTCTTAAGGAAATATTACTACAGTTTGAGGAGGAACTCAAAGCAATGCAGTGACCAGTAATGTGTGTTCCATTTTGTCAAATTGATTGGAATTCATATTCTTAGAGTCATGAATTTCGGACCAAATTAATTCTGATTATATGTTGTAGTATTGAACTATAGCACTCAATGGACTATTTGTGTTGTAGTATTGAACTAGAACACTCAATGGACTATTTGTTCACCGTACACTTTCAGCCTTAAGGGTTTTTCAGATTTCTTGTGATGGACAATGGAATTTGAGATTACGTTTTAACTGCTTTGTTCTTGCAAATGCCTAATGAATGAAGAGCAAGAATTACTTTTCACCACTTTTTCTGTACCTGCAAATGGCCAACACATGAGACGAAAATTTATATAAATGTCATGCTGATGTTCCCGAGGATCAGGTGGGTTCGATTATATATTTTGAAAAAGAAAAAAAAAAAAGAAATGAATGTGAAGTACAATATTATACATTTATTTATGTCAGTGAATTACCTTACTATGGTGTTGTGGCGAACCTACTTTAGGTTTCATAACCTTGTGCACGATTCAGTCAATGTTTCTTGTGTATATACGCACTGTACCTCATGTAAAAACATTGTGGAGTATATAATTATTTACACTAATCTATTAATATATAAAGAGGCAAGATGTTGACTTGAAATAGCAAATAAAAATCAACAAAAAAAAAAAACACATTTAGTTTTCCGTCTAAAGTGTTTACTATATTGAGTAATATTTTTTGCTAAAATTTAAAAAATTCCGCCTAAATTAATGTAATTAATGTACAGAATCATTTTGGTCAACTATTTCGGCTATAACCTTTATTAGTTGCATGATTTAAATTGGAATATAATATATTGACAAAACTTATAGCTATTACCTTTGTATTGACAAAAATTACAGTTATTACCTTTATTAGTTGCATGGTTTAAATATAGTATATAAATTATTGAAAAAAAATAAAAAGATTTTTATTTAAAATTAAAAATAAAAAAATAATTATTCATAACTTATAAGTCAATATTAACTTAGACGTAAACGAAATAGTCAATTATTTATAGTTTAATAAATTACTCAACAATTTACGGGTTAATATTAACCTGGACGTAAACGAAATAGTCAATTATTTATAGTTTTATAAATTACTCAACTACATAATTTTTTTCATTTGAATAGTTTATACAAAATAAATTGTTTTAAGTAATGAAACAATATAATTTTTATACTTATACTTATTATCACATAGGTTGTTAAATATATGATAACGTTTTACCAAAATAACTATTTTATAGAATCACATTATAGTCAAATCGAATTTCTAAATAAAAATTTTGAAATGATACTTATTTTGAAACGAATATAAGATAATTTATTATCAGTTATGTGTACCACACTGGTTGTGTACTAATTTTAAATAGACATTTTTATTTAATTTTGTACAATTTAAACTTTGTATAACATTTTCAATAAATTAATATAGGTAATTGTATTACATATTGATTCCATATTATTAATTTATAAAAATCACTTAATAAGAATTTTTAATTTATAAATAATAATAAATATCTCTTACCCGTGCACTGCACGGGACTCATACTAGTTTGTTTAGTGAAAGGCAGTACGACGCCGGTAGTCCCACAAACCGCCCTAAATATTAAAAAAATGAAAAAAAAATAAAGAATAAAAATAACTAATATATAGTCTTTCTAAGATTGCACACGATTTTTAGGTTAGAGCTATATTCAAGATTTTCTTGGATTCTTGATTTTACAAATTGCTACTTTAAAATTGATTTCCCAATTCTAGTACAAGAAGAAATGAAGAAAAAAGAAAAAAAAAAGAAAAAAAAAACAATGAATCGATATTTTCAAACTCAGCTCGTTGAATGACTTGAGTAGAGTTTCTGGGTCACCAGTCAACCGTTGAGTTATTGGATCAATTGATAAATTACGTAAATAATTTTAATAATCTATGCTATTTTTAGCATTTTTTATAATATATAAAAAATAACTTACTCCTCGTGAATAAAAGGATTTAAAATGGAATTAGTCTGGCAACGCACTCGGAATCCGCTAATCATGCTAGAGACCGATAGTGTTCAAAGGATGACTTTTTTTTAGATTCAAAATCTCAATAAAGTTGTATTTCGTTATAAACATTTACTAACTAAATATATACACATAATTTTACTTTTAAAATAAAAATATTTATAAAAATAATGTATATATATACATATATAAAATTGTTGGGTTTAAATCGGGTTAGACCCGGTCAGGTCAATGACTGGATAGACCAAGTTTGACCGATGGATGTCTGGTCTAATTGATCCGCCAAGACCAAGCTTAGTTCTAGGTTCGGGGTTGACTTGTTGGGTCATCGGGTTAAAAAATGCTCCAGTAAATTAATAATAAAATTAATATAGCATGGGTTATTTAGTGTGACATAAATCATGATAGATCAAAGTTGACATAATTCTAAAATCTAGTAGTAATGAACACAAGATCATTATGATCAAAATGTTAGCACCAATCTTATAAAATTCCNACAGAAAAAAAAAAAAAAAAATTAAAAAAATGACACACACATTATTTATCCCATCTTTTTTATAACCAACATAATTAAGTAAAAGAGTAATGGCTTTGGTGGGACGTGAATCATATTCAGGGCTAGGGTTTAATTGACTTGGAAAATAAAACTTGATCACTTTCAACTTTTTTTCCACACTTGAAAAAACTCAATCCCAAAAAGTAGTGTCTCAAATCTCAATCGATACACTTTGCCTCACCATACAAAGCTGAGCCCAGACATGATCAATTATCTCTATCTTTTGGCTAATCTTCAACTTAATTATATCTTAATTGCATGGGAAAATCATCATGCATACTAGCTTCCATGATATGGGTGATGGCTCATAAAATTGTAGTATTTGTTTGAAGCATAATACTTTATTTTTAATTTGCTCACAAATTTATAATTTACATATTTTACGATTGATTTTATCATTTATGACTATACATCGATCTTGCAGCAAATAAGCTACAATAAGGGATGAGATTTCGTCTTTCAAATGCGTGCTCAACTTTGTATTTATTTTATTGAATGAATGACACGTGTCCCATGATGATATTATTATGAACACGTGTCACTCATCCAATAAAACAAAATAAAAATTAGAATACGATGATATGATTTTATCTCCACAAAAAGAGTGCTTCTTAGGAGGGTTTTAGGGGTGAGGAATAACTTATGGTAGTAGTTGAATTTAACCATTTATATATATATATTACCCAATATACAATATTCCGAATATTAATTGGTATAAANTCTAATTATTAAAAAAAAAAAAAACTCTTAAGATTATGAACATAGTTAATTGTGAGACTAGTTTAAAAAATCCATTGAAAACAAGAAACTAGTTTTTATGAATGTACTTATCTTCAAGTAAGAGGGTAAAATTGTATTAATTACACAATAACTTTCAATGGTAGCCAATGTAATTTTACCTAATTATTATTGGAGTAAATTTGTTCTAGTACATTTGGTTGTAGATTTTGGAAGAACTTTATGGTTTAACAAAAAATTTGCTTCTCTCTGTCCTATAATCTTACAACATACTCAAGGTTTAATATTTTTTTAAAAAGATGTGATTTTATAATGAGAAAGCATTGGACATCCAAAAGTAGGCAACTTTTTTACAAATTTACAAGCCCATGAACTTTTTCATAAAATTTTTATGGTATTTGAAACGTAGGTATTTTACGATGAGTACGCTCAACGTTGTTAGAACACAAATAAACAATTAGAATAGCGGAAATAAACCGAAGATTTAAAAAACTCTTCAGGGAAGTGTCCCACTTCCCCTCAGAGCTCTTTCATTGATAACTCGATTGTGCACATATGTATAGTTTTGGAATTACAGTAACTAGAACTCCCTTCTAGTCTAACCAATAACTATACTCGAATCTACCAACTACTTCTCCGGCTACGTTCCATGGATTTTAACTCTCGAATCCCTCGAGCTAAAAACAACACTTTATCCCTAAGTACTGATCACAAGAGTGTTTGAATGAAAAACAAAAGAATCAAAAAGACTTCAGTTATTCGATGACGTAAGAACACCGAAAACTGAACTACGAAAATAAAACTCAAAAAGCTTGAAGCTCGAATATTGAATGGAAGATAACGACTTCACCAGCCTTGATTCGATCTTCAAGTAGGGTATATATACAACTCCTTAGGTGTGGAGTCTTCTCCAAGTATGAGACTTCTTTTTGATTTCCTTCCAAGTTTATCCAAAGTAACATGGTAAGTGTAGGACTCTTCCTTCTCTCTCAAGATCTTCTTTCCTTGTATGATGTGGAAACATGGAAAGTAAATATTCTCTTGATCTCTCCTCAACTCGTGTAAGAACAAGACTTTCCTAAAATACCCGATCTTCCAAATCTTCAAATATCTTGTGGTCTTTCCAAATTCTCTTTAGATCTTCTCATGAACGTCCAGAACTCCTTATGCACGAATTGCTCATCCTTGCATAGTCCTTGCCACCTATTCCTTGCCCTACAAAAAAAAGAAAACTAATTATGGCATAGAATCAAGCCATTAATACATGTGGCATATATGGTAAGTGAATATATAAGATATATATTATGTAATCCTTCTCCTAAAGATTTAGGACTCCATAATACACATTATAATAAATATATACCATATATTAGTAGTAATAAATATTAGGAACTTAATTAATTAACAATTAAATAAATAGAAAACTTTCCTATAATTTATTTTGCTTGCCTAACAAGAAAATCTTCTAGAAAACATTTAGGTTTTTCGGATGATGTCAAACCAATATTCTTACAATATTCAAATTGAAATAATATATAAGTTGGAAGCCAAAATATTGTAGAGCGTGTTCTTGAAATTGGGAACAAAAAGTCCTGCTGATGAAATATTACAACTGCTGCAGAC